ATCTTGCGATGATAAAAATGTTCAACCTTGGTTGAAGCCACTCACCATGAAATTGGTCAACCTGTTTGAGCCAACCGACCCTGCAGGATCGGCGGTTCGCGCCGTCGTGGTGGTTAAGACTGACTCATCCGGCGATCAGAATTCGCTTGGTTGATCTTCTTTTGGCCATGCGAATTCTGAACGCCTGAGCTTGGCAATCTGACCATCTCGTGATGTTTTTTGTGTATGCTTCATAGGTCGTAGGGGCTGGAAGAGCCAGGTGACCCTGACATGAAGGTGCTGGTAGAGTTCAAGTGGAGTTCAACCGCTTTCTTTCTTTTCCATGAACAACACCTTCCAGCGCAAATGACCATTGAAGTGAAACCACTTCCTGTTGCGTGTCCTCCTTGCTTCCTGGAGACCCTATCAGATCCTGTAGCAATCCATTGGACACTCCTGGGTCCACGAAGCCGTTTGAGGGAAGGAATTCTCCAAAGGCCACGAACCCTCCAGTCGTACCCGACTCGCTGGCACCGTCTCAGACCGTCTCACAGTGTGTGTTTGCTCACCGAGACATACCTTCCTCCCCTGGTTATCCGGGTGGGTGGATGTCCAGCCCGAACAGAACAGCGCCGAGGCTCTTGGCCCATTTGCCGCATCCCGAAGCGCCAGTGAAGCGAAAGCTCGGACGCCCGAGTCCGGAGCTCGTTGTGCGGTTCGTGGATTTCGAAGTTGGTTGGAATTTGAAAGCCCACTTTGGGGGCTAGAAAACCCTGAACCCCCCCCTAGGCCGGCTTCTCACCCCAATTTGTGAGTTGTAAGGTTGGCTTTTCAACGAACAACCTTGTTGCTAAGGTCGTTGCTCAAGCGGTCATGGAAGACTGATTCGGGTCAATTTTGCGGAGCAGGTGATGATTGTGCAAAAGAATTCTGAACGCAGAGATTGTTGTTCTTTCCCAAACCATCCCTCTATGGAACCATTACAATTAAGACATATTGAAAAAAACGCATGTGAGCCCATATGTCCAGTCCATTGAATCATTGAAGATACCCTAGGAAATTCGGACAGGGCCGAGCCCTAAAAGCAGGGGTATACCTGGTATTTTGGTGTGTTGTTCCCCCCCAACTCAACTCTTCTGACCTTAGCACCGCCGGGCCCTTCTGACTTCGTGGCGATGGGCCGAGGAAGCGGCGGAACGAGGTGGAAGACGAGGAGCAGATCCAAGTGGCGGGTGAAAGCACCTCCACCAGGTGTGAAGACCGAGGGGTATCTTAGGGGCCCGGACCATCCCGGACCCATAATTTTGGATCTTCTATACCCAGAACGCCAGGAGATGTTTAATTGCAAGGGCTAACGCCCTGGTGCTGCCGACCCCCATTTTTGCAGCCAAAGCAGGTGCGCAGTCGCCGTGGATTTGTTCAGTTTCCCTCCTAAAAGTTGAAACTCACAGCATGCAGAAAGAAAGCTTGCCAAGTCAAGAGCGAACGCAAAACACCAGGGGACAAGCCCCAGGTAGCTGCCACAAGCAGCCTGTGGCCGGCCGCCCATGGACCCACGCCAAAACCTCGGTCGCGCCGCAGCGAAACACCCTGGCCCGAGCTCCAGAGATTTAATCCGCAGGCTCTCTCTATATGCCCAAAGCTATCTTGCTTCTGATGGCCGCTCTGATTCTCGGCAATCTGTGTCGCCACGCCATCTAATTCCACACCAAAAATCACAAAAAAAATTGTGCTGACGGGGTGCCTAACAGCAGTTTCGAAACCCAATGAAAAAAACTTATGAATGCCTGCCGCAGAAGGTTTGGGGTGCCTTATGGTAGCTCCAGAGATTCAATCCCCTATCCACGGCTTTACCCAAGGCGAAGGACAGCCGCAGAGGGCTTGAGGCCTTGGACAGGATTCAATGCCAGGGCTCTCGGCTGTGCAGGACACCCGCAGAAGTGGAGCGTGTGCGCAAACGGGCGCCAGACAAAGCCCAGGTAATGGCCACAGGCACCCTGCAGTGTCCCAGGCGCCGCTCTGCGGATTTAAGGCCTGCCCATACCCCGATCCATAGACCCGAATCCTCTGGAGACATTCGGACCCGGTATTCCTCAGGTATTCCGTATTCCGGGTCTGGGGTTTCTCACCAATGTGGGTTTGAGAGACCGGAGATATACCCTACAGGTGAAAGACATCACTTTACATCATTTTACTGGAGTTGATCATGCAAAAACATTACTCAATTGTTGGTTTTCAGGACCAGGTTTTAGTGGGTCACACTGGACCTGTATAGGGATATGATCTTGAAACGGCCTATACCAGCACCACCCACAAACTGGGTGGTTTATAGACCCCTCAAACATCCTCAAACTCGGCATCTTCCTTCCAATAAGAACCGCCAAAGGGGGGTGCTGGTAGCCGGTTTGTTTCAGCAAAAAGACACCATAATCCAACAAAAAATCATGGGTTACAAACGCTAGGGATCCAGTCGTACCTTCTCAGAAGGTACGACTGGACCCTCCAAACCTACATTACAGTGTCTCCAATCACCGAACCTGAGAAGGTACCCTAGGGAAACATGTGCTCCAAATCAATGCACGCTTCCAAGTTGTTTCGGCGGAACATCCTGGCTCAAAGCGCAACCACCAATGGAGCCAGGCTGGCACTGAGCACACAAGAAGCACGAGTCTTGGGGCGATTGGGCCAGAAGCTCAGATCCATCCGATCCTTTCGTTTTGACCCTAAAACGGTCATGTAAAATCGGCAAAAACAACTGGTGGTTCGGGATTCAGACTCTTCAATCAATTGTGGTCCAGGAATCCCATGCAGATCCGGAAAGAACATCACAATCATCAACAACTACAACAACAGAATTGCATCGGAATCCGTTGGTTTTGCATGGGTTTCATGCGAAAGGGAGTGGATGGGGCATGTCAGGAGAGATTCCAAGGGCCTAAAGGGTGGTTAATGGAGCCCCTTCACGTCCCATTCGAGCATCCTTCTAGCCTTTCTGGCCCACCATTGAGTTATTGTAAAAGTCTAAGGATTTTACACCTACAAAACCAGGTCAACCACTTTGAACATAGTCTTGGAAGGCTATGGGCACTCATCATCATGGCCCTGCACCCTTTTGCGCCTTCCATGCTTCTGCCCAGGTGAGAATCCTTACCTTCGATGCTTCTTCTTCGTCTCCGTGGCCAAGCGAAGGCCTTCGTGGCCCGCCGTGGCGGCGCAAAACGTTCAGTGCACCGCGCGAGGGTCTTTGCATCCCATTCGGGCTTCAGTCGTTCTCACGAGACCTGTACCTAACCACGCTTTACAATCAACTCCGACGAAGTGTACCGTCACCACGCTGTAAAGTCACCAAGCCCGACTGCAAGTCCCTAACCACACCTGCGGACAGGCCAGAGCTGCTCCCAGTCACGTTTGGGCAACTCCTTACTCCTTAGTAGCAAATCCTTACATATGTTTGCCTTCAGGCATTTCCTTTAAGGAAGTTTCATCAAACTTAGTCCTTTCATGAACCTTGGTCCTTTCAGGTCGTTTTGGTTTGCTGTCATGACATCATCCATTCATTTTCCATCATTTTCCATCCGCTCTCTGCTGTCCTCACTGTGGAGAAGAGTATCCAGCGTCTTTCGCTGCTTTGAATGTCCAATACACTTGGCCGTTTGGGCCGGTGAACTTTGCAAAAGGTGTCCCCGATGTGCTTCTCTTAAACACTTGTTTCCTCCACTCACCATGCATTTCATCCGAGACAATCTCTGCCTTGCCTTTTTTTCTTTGGCTTTGTTTCGCTCTTCTTCCCGTTTTCATGGAAGGATGGCTTCTTCAGGACCTGTGGAGGCCGTGTTGGCTTCTTTGGAACCTCTGGAAGGATAGCCGTTTTCTTATCCTCCTTTGGAACCTCTGGAAGGGTAGCCGGCTTCTTTGGAACCTTTGGAACCTTTTTCTCATCCTCCTCCTTGAAGGATAGCCTCTTCCGGACCTGTGAAGGTTCCGGAGGAGCATCTGGAACTTTAGCGGTAGCACTCTGCTCCTTCGCGGCGGGCTTCTTCTTGGGGGTAGTCTTCTTCATAATGCCACCTCACTCATTGATCCAAAGGTCAACCAAAAGAAAGTGGGCTTGGTTGGGCGATCAGGAGGATGGATAGGCAGCAAGGGTTTAACAACATCTATAATCTATAAACAGATCTGACAAGGGACGTCCACGACCACGCTTTGCTTCTCCAAGTCCGCGCCCACGACCACGGCCACGATTCAAGGGCTTGTCGGGTTTTCCGCCTCCAGTAACCTGTGCATCCTCTTGTGACTCTTCAAGAGGGGTCTCGACCAAAAGCTTACTCTCAGTGGACAGCGGATTTCCTTCCCTTGGTTGAGGGAAGTAACCGATCCCGCGGCCTGCGCTGAGCATGGTTGAGGTGAAGAGCCAGGCGGCGAGTGCAAGGCGAACCCTTTCATGATCTCGTCTTTGACATTGAAATTCAAGTTCAAAGACATTGATGAGGCCGACATTCACGGACAAAAAAATAGACACTAATGATTGAGCCTCAAAACCGGTCTGGACTGGAGGTCTGAGCCGCTACACTCACAATCTCACCTGACAAGAAGGCATGAGTAGGCCCGACTACGAGTCTTGCATGCAGAGCCAATTCTTTTCTGCGCCAAACGCTTCCGCTCTGGAAGCGCACCCTCCGGTTTGCACTGCACTGTGCCACACAACGCTGGAACACCCAACAACTAAATTCAATGTATGAATTTAAGGAGTTTAAGACAATGTGTACCTGAGTCTGTCTACCTTGCCTCTTCTGAAAAAAAATAGTCATCTCAGCCTTGGCGCAGTGCCCCTGTGCGCAAGCTTGTCGTGAGCGCTCCAAAACTACTGCAAAAGAATGCTGGGGCAAGGTTGCAAAAGGTTCTACAGGAAAAACTGCGCGACCCTAAAATGCTGCGACCCTAGGCTGAAACTAGGCTGAAACACACGTCTTGAATCACAAACCAGCACACACACACACACAAACATGTGCCCAAGCAACACGTCAGCCAGCTACTTTCACAGGCTTATTGCCAGAAAGCTGCACCGCTGACTTGCAAATGACATATGGCTTCACTGCTTTCAGGCTCATGCCTACCTTCTCATACCGAAAGCGAAAGCAGGTGCCGATGACGGTGCTGGATTCACAAGCCTGAACACACTTGCTGAAAACATTCTTGCAAGTTGTCTTGGCTGAAGCTCTGCTGTCCTCAATGCATTTGAATCGCATGTCCTGGGTGATGGTGAGTTCAAAGGCGTCTGAACCCGCCTCGACAGTATCATCTGTCTTCCGGACTGCGGTCATGTAAGAGAGCTTCACATCTGGTGCACTCTTCTCCCGCTCGATGGTGACGATGAGCTTGTACAAGGACATGGTAAGCACCGAGTTGGTGGGGCATGATTCGCGCAGAGAGGTCTCGTCCAGCTGGACGATTGTCCGGTCTTTCAATGGGAAGGTGTAGGCTGGGCCTGTCCCTGGGTCAGAAATCTTGGAGTATTGGCCTGTCCCAAAGCCGCCAAGCTGAGAGTTCTTGGGAAGATGCTTGTCTTTCTCACAGACAAGCCAGATCTGTCCACTCTTGGTCAAGATGATGCGAACACCTTGGATCTCTGAAGCCACATCAGCTTCAACCTCCTGCTGACTCTTGAGAGCCTCCATGGAATCCAGCTTGTCCAAGGACGGTGTCTCTGATTGCTCCTGACAGGTGGGATGCCAATCAATGTGCCCAAATCATGCCAAGCCTACAGTAACACTTGTCTACTTGCGTTGCTCAACACAGGGAATCACAGACACTAGGAACAAAAACACGAGCAGCTTGACTGACTGCAATCCTCAGCAGGTGCAGAGCCACCATCGTGAGACTCACCAGTGGCTTGCTGTCCTGACAGCTTTCCAAGCAGTTGGCTGTGCTGGCTCTTCAATGCCTGGAAACTCTGGGTGATCTCTCCCCCCCTGCGCTTCCCAGTAGCGGGACTCATCTTCCTTGATGTGCCATTGATCTCCACGCCGTTCCAAGACCTCCCACTTCATGGCATCGAGTGATGTCGTGGCCGCAAGGGCCCCAGGGATGCTTTCTATGTCCTTCTGCGCCAAAGGTGGCGGCGTTGTGAGAAATTTTTGGCTTGGGCCGACTTCCAAGGTCCCCTTCATCCATGCATTGAGCACCTCGCGCACCAGGCGGCTCTGGCCGAAGGAGAAAGTGTCCTTGCCGATCCACGACACAGACAAGTAGTGCATATTCTCAGCACTCCATCCACCAAACGAAGCCTTGTGTAGCCGGTGCTGCAGAACCTAAGATCCAGCAAGGCCGAGGCCAACAAAAAAAGACTTGCCCAAAACAAAAGCACACCCTTCAGAATCTTCTTTTGCCGCACATCAAGAACCCCTGCAGCAACTAACAATGGAACCAAACCAAGCACTGCACCTTATGAGCAATGCATAAACCCGCTACCCTCCAATTCGTTTATTTTGGGCTGCATTGGCCCCAACCACATACAGAAAGTATGGTGGGGGGTTTCTTGGACGACCTGACTTGTGTCTCATGCCTTCCCCACCACCTAAAGTATTGCGGCACTGCACTGGCGCAAGCCGCTGGAAGTAGTCAATTAATGATGCTTCCAGCATCTCAATCTGCGCAAGTGAATTGCTAGCATGCAGGCAGCACATCTCAGAGAAGTTACTTTCATAATAGTACTTCACCCGGATCTCCAAACACTGAGATATACCAATCTTGAACACGGCCAATTGCTCACCTCCAAACTTCAGCCTGATGTGTTGAATGCGCTCCTTCAAGTTTACACAACAAGTGTGCCCTATTGCTTTGAATTATTGAATGTGTTGCTGTATTGTTTTTAAATGTGGTGTCGGTTGGTTTCTTCCTTTACCAAGGCCGTCCTTGCAGTGTTTGAGAATCTTGTTGGCCACAGTAGAGGGGGGGAAGCACTGCCACAGACACGCCCATAGACAGCGGTCCAACTTCCCAGCCAGCATCCAGTGGTGAACAAGGACTCAGCTCTGCATGCGCGATGGCAGCAGTAGCACCCGGAGGTGCTAGTGACGTAGGACACTGGAGGAGAGAACAATGGAGGTTTTGCGCTGTAGGTTGGACATCGAGGGCATCTTCATCATCTTCATCATCCCACAACATGATGTGTCTAGCCTTTTTGAAGAAGGCATCAGGACCACAGAGCATGGCTTGGCAACAGCAAGGCGACAGGACAGAACCCAAAAAAAAGAGCCCATCTGCAGCAGTGCGCCATGACGCAAAGACCCTACAAGACCCTAAAGGACAATCAAGCCAAGGAACCGCAATCCCACATTCTTCGATGTAGCCAGTCAAATTCAGGATAAGGACTGGTGCCTGTCCCAACCCTTGGCCACTGACGTTGCAGATTGAGGCAATGAGGGCAGCGCACTTGTCAGCCCCCCTTCTGAGCGGTGATGGTTTCTGGTGAAGGACGCTGCCTCTCACTGGTCCTCAAATCTTCATTTGGGTTCAGGCTCTCTGGAAGGACGAGGTCTTTTGAGAGAGGAAGATAGACCTTTGAATCTCCCAAGGGCCTCCCCGCCACAGCAAGCTCAGCACTGTTGATGAAGACATTCTCAGCCTCCGCATCATGATTGCAAACCAAGCGACCAGAGCAATATCTCCTCCGCAGCAAAAGATGAATTGCGCCAAATGCAAAGGGTTGAAGATAATGACATGAATTTCACAATATTGTATACCTTCAATTTCTAAGCAATTCCATTTGGATGAACTTCAGAACGCACACAGACAAAGGTTGGCAAGTCTCCTTCTAGCACTGTGACCATCAGCCTGGGCTTGGATATCCAATGGCATAAACCACCTGCAATCGCAATGCTGCCTCAAGCCCCAGAGCGTGTTTTGGACTTCAGCTTCCTCGTCCGCGAGGCCTCTCTTCGAGGTTTTCTTGGGCATGTCAGGGAGCTCTACCAATGCCACGGTGCGTGTCGGGCTAATGTCGTTGATGAAAGACACTGCGGTCATTATCTCATCCATCCTCTCCTTGGAATTGGAGTAAGGCACGTTCAAGTCCACCAATGTGATCGTGTAGATGTCACTGGGTTTGATTCCATGAGCACTCGCCTGGTTGGCTGGTATTGTGGTCAGGTGGAGGATGCAGGATGGATACGCTAGAGACTGATCAAACAACTTGGGGGTGGATAAAGGAGTGGAGAAAGGATTATATTTTCAATGGAAAGGTTTGCCCGTTTGTGGCAAAGTACGATAAACTCCCGGTGCTGATGCACATGCTCGTGCAGATGCTCCATCTTCTTGATCTGGATGGTCTTGAGGAACTTCTCGCAGTACGCCAAGACCAACTTCTCGCCCACTTTCGCTTGCTCTGCTCTCCAGGCCATCTCCCGGCGGTGACGGAGAGAATCCAGCTTGGCTGGGGCTTCAATCACCAACTTCAATTGGCGTTGGTCCCGATCCAGCGCTTGCTGAAAATAGTTCCATCGTGCCGACCGCACTTCCAGCCGCTGCCCGTCTGCCTCTACACTTGCAATTTCCTCGCAAGCTCGCGTCTCCTTTGCTGCAGCGTCACGTGCTGATGGCAGCATAGACAGGCTGAAGGCCTTTGGCCTTTGTTCCAAGATGTCACTGAACTGGCCATCAAGCACACTGCTGGTCATGAGCTTGCGCTCGAACTCATCGAAGTCTTGAAGTCTGCTGGACAGAAAGCTTCTGACCTGGCTCCAGAAAGCCATCAAGTCCCGAAGTTGAAGAAGGTCCTCAGCCTTTGCTCGGTAACGCTTTTTCTCCTTGATGTCATCGACGATCGCCGTCGCCTTTTGGAATGCCAGGTGGACCCTGGAGAGAAGCCATGCTTGAGAGTTTCCATCCAAGGGCAGGGCCCAGTCTATGCTGATGTTGGCTTCGCCGGACAGAGGGGCCAATGAGGCCTGAGGATTGGCGACCGTCTCCTCAGCCTGGCTTCCGAGAAACATCTGCGGCGTCAAGGAGAAGGCCTCTCCATACGGCCCATACTGGAATGGGTAGTCCAGCAGGGTCTTGTGAACTACTGCATGTGCTTGTTGACTGGATTTCTCCATCCAGTGCTTGATGCCCCAAACCTTCTTGGAGTCAATGGCCAGGGTTCCGGATCCTCCGTGTTCCTTGGCAATCTCAGCTTTGTCCAAAGAAAACATGATTGTTGAATGGCGACGTCGTGGTGAAGAGAAAATGAGATGGGTTGACGATTGATGTGTTTTTCCTGATGCTCCATATGTCTACTTCTGCCTTTGCACATCGAATCCATCTCTCCACAACTCCCTCTTTGCTCATTTCAGTTGTGTCGTCGTTGTTTTTTTTTCCTGTTATATAACATATCACCAGCCTCAATGTTCCCCTTAATCCAGATCTAAAAAGACTCGCGACTCTCTCCATATATTATGATGTGGCGTTTGAGTGTAACCTGAAACCAGGTGATTAATTCAGAATTTAGACAAAGTGGCCGCGGCATGAACTTCAGGAGAAGCGTTGTATATAGCAATAGCATCTGAAACACCAAACTCCTGCATGTCATTAGCAGATTGAAGTGATCCCAATATGTTTGCCCACTCAAAGCTGCTGATGGGGAGCTTCTTCGCATCAACATTCTGCTTTATGATCCTTTGAATCATTCCATGTGCAGGATTGATCGGTTGCTGCTTGCGAAAGGTCATCAGCTTCAGCAGGCTTGAGGTCAGCGCAACAACACCAGGCTTTCTCAGCTCTGCCTCGGGCTCCTTCACAAAGACAAATGCTAAACCCACCCAAACCAGGGCAGCAGCAAGACATTTCATGCCACCATCATCGATCTTCAGCACCCCAAACTGGTCAGCATCCTCACTAATGTCAATGTCGTCAGTGAGCCGTAGGGCTAGTGTCTCGCCCTGACCAGGCCAATGTTACCCTTGAAATGACACAGACTTTACCCTTTGCGTTCCATTCCACCAAATTCTGAACATGGAACCTTGGAGGAAGAAGCAAAACACATGGTTTCTCGGAAATGTTTATTCTCAGTAATATGTAATAGTATATGTTATCCATATACAGTATATTATATATATAGTAATTAGTAGCACAGTAATAGCAATAGTCTTAGTATTGATGTCTTGGTGGTGGGTCTGATTGATATCCATTGTGGAAAAGATCCTAAATGAAAGGCAAACATTCGCTCCATGATCCCAAGTCAAAAGGGGGTCAATCATTCGACTCATTGTCATCATGTTCCTTACCCCAAAAGGATGCTATGCACCTCATGACATGCTGTGTCTTTCATGTTCTCCTCAAAAAGACTGCACGGTACCCTTCTTGCTTAGCGTTTTAGCCAAGGTCTTAACCTTATTGGCAACATAAGGAGTGCTCCCCTCGAAATGCCTAGTTATAGTCATAGTTATTGTAAAACACCCAGATAGTAACAAAAGATGAGAAAACAGGGTGTGTTGCACTGGTCTGAAGCTTCTCTTCCCTATAGAAGTTGTGGCCAAGTTGGATCCCTATTTCATGTTTGGGTTATGGCGAGGGATTTCTTTTGATTTATGGCGAGCTATTCCGGTTTAAGTTATGGCGAGGGATTTGGATTTGGGTTATGGCGAGGGATTCCCCTTTGGATCTAATTTGTGTCTCTGTTGGTTTGGCCATGATAGTTATTATTGTGACTGTGGTGATGCTCCATTGAGATTCCACGGTTACGGCGAGCGATTCCGTTCCCAAGACAACAAGACTTACGGCGAGCTCTTCCTAGAAGAGCTCTCCATAACCTTGGGGTCGTGTTTGATCTGGGCCTTTGTCCGTCTAGATTTGCTATTCTTCTCGGAAAGCCAATCCCTAGCCAAAACAGACTTCTGGGTGAGCTCCGATTACGGCGAGTTCTTCCTAGAAGAGCTCTCCATAGCTCTTTCCTTGATGCTAGCCGCAATATTTTGTGTGGAATGGGGAATAACAATTTAAGGTGTAGAAAAAAAAATTCTTTGTATTCTCCTTAAACTAGCTATGGCTAGCTCTTCCTAGAAGAGGTCTCCATTCTGGCTGCTGAAGATAGGTATGATAATGGCTAGCTATTGGCAGGATGCAGTCCCAGGATTGTGTTCTTTGGTTTGTGCCAGGGTCACCAACCTCCTTAAAGCCTGTGAGGGAGATGCTCTTGGCGATGTCCAGGACTATGGCCATGGTTGGGGGGCCGCCAAAAAGAATCATCATCCAAGCTCCAGTGAAGGATAGTCGTGGCGGTGAAGGATCCCTCCGATGGTGGCCACTCCTGGAAAACAAAAGGCGCCACAAATCAACAGCAATGCATCCGTTACCCATCAAATGATCAACCGTCATCATTCATCATCCTGGGAAACCTGTTTAGAAAATGTGTTTAGAACTTGTGATATAGAGTTGTCAACAGCCACATTCAATCGTTTCTTTCCCCGCTCCTGCAAACAGTATTTCTTTTGGAAATCGTCCACAGTAGAACCCGGAGCCATCAGGCCAACCTTTTCCACCAAGGTCACACTTGCCTGGAGCAATTCCTTCTTGTCATCCCAACACCGGCGACAAATATCCAAGAAGCTGCCCCCCATCATCCAAAGGAAAGGGATGCTTCTCTCCACCTCCATGCCTTAGCTCGTAGGCCTTCACCACCCAGTCCCTCAGCTGCCGTTGCACATCAGTGACTTCATCCATGGTCCTGGGAATGAAGGAATCCTGCTTCACATTGTTGGTCCGCTGCCGTTTCTTCGGAGCCATGTCAAGAAGATCGAGTTTGTCAAACTCGAGACGGTGAGATCTCCGGAGCATGAACCAAGAGTGACTACAGGGAACGCAGTACAATACAAACATGGATTGGTAGTAATTCAGGTTGCGCAACCCTTGCCAGAGCCGAGGCAAATCTGTGAACTAGCAGCTCACAAAACAAGACCATTTTCCCAGTGCTAAAAAGTGCCACTCTGGAACTGCCAGTAGTACGCCCACAATGTGCAATCACACGCAGGCAAAGGCTGGCTGAAATTACAGTCACCGGGCTACTCTGAAAACAAATATCTTGTCTCACAATTCTAAATTGACCAAGCTAATGGAGGAGCCCAGTCCTTCCGCCTAGCACCCAATCCTTCATCCTAGTCCTCGTCAGGAACGGTCCAGTTTGCAAGTGCCCCAATCACGCAGGCCAGGACGACTGGCACGCTGAACCTGGGCCAAGCCACAGCAATGAGTGCAGCAATCAGCATCTCTTTTGTATGACCGATATGAGATGAGCCCCATCATATCATCATCATCATCATGATTGTATTCCTAAATGTCTTGAGTCCCTGCCCCGTGAAAATTGGCCAAGGCACGCATTCCCCAGGAAGTCCTTCACAGACCCATCTGCGAACTGACACAGCCCAAAATCAAGCCAGTCATCTGCACCCAGCCCCTGCAATGCTGCCAACTCCTGCGTAGGAACACCAACAACATCTTTTGATACCACCCCGCATCACCCCGCCACTGGCTGAATTCCCCATGGTTTCCTGCACCAAGGCCCCAAAAGCTTTCTAGTCCGAATGCAAAAACAATGCACACAGCATGCATGCATGCCTGTCCTGTGGAATCACCTGGCGGAACTTGGCCGGGCCGCTGATCACGTACTTCCCCTTCGGGATAACAGTCGTGGAGATTTGGGTGTTCGACTTGCAAAAGGTTTGCCGAGAAAAGTTCTGATCCTGGGCTCGCTGCATGTCCGCTAGCGCGTGAAAATACAAGCATGAGATGTGCTGCAGACATGCGCTCTTAGATATACTTGCTTGGAGAATTGGAGTTTCACTTCACCCCAACTCTTTCTTTAACCTGCAAATTCAATGCGCTCAACAACTAAGTTAAATTCCACCTGAATGCACACGGGCTTGGCCAAGGCATTCACACCAGCAATCTGCAGTCGACGAAGGGCAGTAGAAAGGATTGCGAGCTCACGGTCTGAACATGCAAGGTTGAGCTGCTGGACAATCCGCAAGTACTTCTGCACCGCTTCCTCTTCAATTTTAAACCAATGAACCATGTCATCAAGTTTTGTCCAACCTAAGCAGAGTGAATTCAACCCTGAACTTTCTCAAACTATCCCTGTCCTTGCCACCGAGCAGTTCGCACTCTTTGTCGAAATCAGTATGCCACTTGAGATCAGTGGCATTCCGTGTGTTTGCGGGCTTGGGTCGACGCGCAGGGCAAGGGAGATCCTTGTTGGCAGCAATGCACGATGACAGCGGCAAGGCTGCACACTTGAAGCGGTCCGCATCCCTGATGGCCTGCTGTGCGTCGCAGTTCAATCCTGCAATGATCCATGCACGGTTCCTGCTCTGAGGAGGTCCGAAGCTGGCAGTGTTGAAGCATGCATAACTCACATTGTAGCCCATCTTGGTGAGATCGCATTCAATGATATCAATCCTGGGCTAGGTTTCCAGTTAGTACAACATTTCAATCACGCTTACTACAACAACATGACAACAAGCTACCAACAAACAAACAAAGCTTTATTCTGTATCAAGAGAGGTTCGGTCTCTTGCCACCCTCTGCACCCCGATGAACAAACACCGTGGCAACATTCTCAAGCAATACTAGGCACGGCCGGTGCCTTTGGATGTACTTTTTCACTGACTGGTATCCATTTCCCGATGTGCAGCCCGTGTCCTTGATAGAGCCTGGTGTAGATGTCAGGTTGCTCAGGGACTTGCAAGGAAAGCCGGCTGTCAACAGGTCGACCTGTCGGGAAATTATCCTTAAGGACTCAAGACCAATGCCGAGAAAGTAGCACTATCACTCCCACTGCCACAATCCTCTACAGTCCAACAACAAACCCTTTCTGAAGACCAGGGCCTTGGGAACCTCCTCTTTGAATCCAGCATGGGTCATGGCCTTGTCCTTACCCATCTCTGCCATGTCACAAAAGAGATGCTCACAGTCCTTGAACTGCCTGGAAAGGTACTCGCGCTTCTTGCAATCAAACTCAACCATGAAGGTCGACTCGAACTGCAGGGCTGATGTTTGAGGAAGATGCTAAAAAAGTGCTTTCTTGAAAACCTGTATAGTATACATTCATTATAATCATTTGTATATATTTTCATGTTCAATATACTGTTCATTACTGCTCATTGCTTTGCACGCCTGAATGGATGGCCACACACTCTGCAAACGGGATAGCACCATCTCTAGGGTACCCATACCAGTGCAAATGGTCCCAACCTTGATGATACCTCCCATTTTCCCCTTCACATCCTCACGGGTAGACTGGCACTTCCGCAGAACGTCATGCAAGGAGACGTCACTGGTCAACTCATGGATGAAGTTGTTGATCTTGGTTGAACAACATGGTGTTGAAGGAAACCAAATTGAAGGTTGACCGCACCCTCAAACAAATAAGTGACACATACAGTATGATGAACCAGCGCCAGACAAAAACACTTGACTTGAGTTTAGGTGCTGATGGTGTTGTTATGTTCAGTGTCCGAAGTGTTGCAACTCCCCCATTGCACTCCGGAAAGCTACCAGCATCATCTTCCTCCGAAGCGTAGTGAACCTCATCCGTGGATGCTCCATCTGTCTTCCTGAGATGCAGTGCAGCGAAGACTGTGGCTATGTGGCTAGATTTGTGGCTGGTTGGGCACAGCTGAGTGCTACAGCTTGAACCAAAACATACCCCATTGAATCACTATCCTCGGCTGAAGCCATTAAACTAGTCTCAGGCTAGACTCTGTTGGTCCTCGATGTCAGACTCCGGCAAGACCTCAGCATCGGAGTTGTCCAAAGCATCTGTCCTGCGGATGCAAGACGCTCGAAGGATTCTAGCCTGAAGAGGACCAGGAAAGGTTGGGACTTCGAGTGGGTGACCAAGTGGGAGAAATATTGTGCATCACTCGATGTGGAAGGTTAATTTAATGAAGAAGCAGAGGGCAAGTCTGAGTGCATTTCAAAATGATCCTACGCTGTCCTACGCTGAAATATTGATTTCTTGGTATGTGTTGTCCAATGCTTCCATAATGGACCCATCATGAAGTCAAAAGGACAACAAACAAAATCACAACACACAAAATGAACAAAACAAATTTGGTTGACCACATATCTCCACTCCAACGTTTTTCACCCATCCAGCGGCAGATCAACAGGCGCATTGTCAGATTCGCTGTCTGATGTGTGCCCACCCTCTTCTCCAATTGTGAGATCAAAATGTCTCAACCTTCGTGGGGGGACCCACGTTCCTGGCATCACAGGTTCTGCTCTGAGTCGAGCATCCCATCGGTAGTTCAAAATGCTGTACACTGCCGGCCTGGGAACTTCCTGCAAAGTCCTGTCGGCCCATCCCAGTAAATACCTAGATGCAGCTTCATTGAGGTCGCCACTCTTCTGGCAGCGAGGCACATACCTGTGAATGTTTTGAACAACTCGATGGCCAATTGCCCTCCTTTCTGTGACGCCAGAGGGCAACTGTGCTCCAGTGCGAAGCTCTGTACACACATCTTCTGAAACCAAGGCGATCAATCTCAAAACTTCAGTGTCTCCCAACCACCGTTTTGCAATCAAGCATATGTCCCCTGGCTTCTTCGCTCTCCCGAAGGGAAAGTCTTCAAATTCAGCCACCCGCTGGAAAACCTCCATCTCGATGTCCTCTCGCCGGACAAACTTGAACAGGTGGACACGTCCTGGAACTGAGAAGTTGAGTGGAAACATGTGGAAACCAATGCAATCAAATTAAACCCTACTTAGACCCTACTATAAGCATGAGGTTGCACATTGCTTTACAACAAAATCAACACATGTTTGCCTTTCATGGTCCAAAATGCTTCTTGAGAGAGATGTGTTTGTGTGTGTGTCTCTCTGCGTGTGTTTTGGCCAGCTTGGCTCCAAGTCTCGCATGCCTTTCAGCACGATTCCCAGTTGCCGAACCCAAGCCTTCCACTTAGCTGCTTGGTCTAGCTTGAATGCACAAGCAGAAGTACCGCGAAGACGTGTTGAAGAGTCTGCTTGGTTTGCCCCAGCACACTGGTTCAGCAGTTTGATGAGCTCCTCGGGCGAGTTAAAGCACTTTCCTCGAAGAAGTCGGCTGATCTGACCAAAGACTTGGTCGACATCTTCGTGGGAGTGGGCTTTTCTCAGAAAGCCCAGTGAGCAATACCGGAATATCCCCAGCGCGACCAGCATGATTCCTAGTGCAGCTACATATCGGTTCTTGCCCTCGCGGGCGCAATTGTCCTGCTGGATATGAAGTCCAGCAGGCAATTGGGCAGGACTGGAGTCGTAGAGCACCTGGAGCCCACGCACGAGCAGCTCGATTTGTGTTTCAGAGTCCTTTTTAAGGCTCTCGTCTGAAATTGGCAGCAAGAGCTTCAGCCCATGCAGCCATACTGCGGCCAAGTGTAATGTGGGCCTGTACAAAGGCTCCAGGCCCTTGCACAGACGTTTGTACCCAAAGCGAGGTGTTCTCAGTTTGGATTGGTCCATTCCATCGCATATGATGGTGACCAATGAGTTGTAGATGTTGATATTTGGGCCATGCGCTAAGGCTTCTCGTGAATGGAAGTACGACTGGCTTAAAGCTCGAAGCTTCCAGTAGACCTGGCGGTCTAGCCACTGCGACAAGATGTGTCTTCCATACTGCCGGGAAAACTCCAATCTGTCACTCTTGCATAGAGCCTCTTTGATTTTCCTTTTCAGGCGCCCACACACGTCACACTGAGCGTGCTCGCACTTCTCTCGGAATTTGAGGTGCGTGTCAAAGACCTTTTTGAAACATCGCATAAAGGTTGACAGCGATGCTGGCTGCCTGCCTTCTGACGTTTCATGTGCCTTGTATTGGTAGAACAGGTCAATAGGCTGAGCGTGCTCTAAATACCTCCTTGGCCCTTTGAAAGACCCTGGCCCCAAATGCTCTGGGCTTGGCAATTGAAATTGAGGATCCAAATCTTTCAAAAAGGAGTTGCAGTAGCGTTCCTCAAAATCACTGTCTTCCTCATGATCTTCCAGGGCATGCTGCTTAGGCATCACAAATTTGTCTGGAAGGATCTCGGCAGCGGAGATGTAGAGTATCCAAAAGAATCCCAAGATGTGGGGCCACTGAGCCTGTCCAGATCGCTTCATTGCGTAGCCCAATGACGGGTGCTTGGGTTGTTCAACTCTGTACTCCTCCATGCTGTATGCAGGTCTGCGCTCCCGTATGTTCTGAAGGGCCCCTGATCCTATGCCGTAGAGACGTCGATGAGCACTTTGGCAAACCTAAGTTAAAGGAACCAAATCAACCCTCTCTCATCCAAATTGAGAGGTTACTTCAAACTCTCAGTTGTTTGGGAAAAATAGGAACCAAAGAAACTGTAGCCAATTATTCTTGACAGGGTGCTTGCATGTTCAAGAATATGAACTCGCAACCAGTTCTCCTGGGGGTGTACTTCCGCTTCTTCTGCATGGGCTCTGCTGCGTGAGCCGGCGAAGCAGGCTCTGACATCTCTGACATGCCACTATCATACAAAATTTCACCTGCATCAGAACCTGCGGCTTCTGACGAAGTTTGACAATGAACCTCCTCCTCGTCATCGCTTTGCCAAAGAACTTCGCTGTTTGTTCCCTGTGGCTTGGTAGAAGCAGAAGAAAGCACTGTGTCCAGGTGATACCACTGTGAGAGCAAACGCTCCTGATGTGTACGGACATCAGCAAAAATCTTTGACCCTCGGGTAATTCATCTGGGGTTTCAACTATTCAAAATGACTAACTCACCAATAGCAATTACTCAGTCATGGAAGACTCTTTCCGAAAAGCGGGCGCTTTGTGGAACAGGCTGCGGGCATCACAGACTTCTTGCTCTCTTCCCCTGAATTGCCGGAAGCAATTTACACGAGAGCACGAGCACTGTTGTTGCAGGAGCTTGTTCACAGCATCCGCCTTGCATTTTCTCAGATGCCTCAAATCTGAATGTTTGACCACTGCACTCTCATCTTCCATTGAGGTGAAACTGCTCAAGAAAGGGGTAACGCGCTTGGTGTATGTTTTCTGACTAAGAGTGGCTCTTCAGGTCAATGTGTTGAATATCTCTAAGAAAAAGGATTGAACGGCAAGTGCCTTGCTGAAAGAATGCTTCATTGCTGGATGTCTTTTCTCGGATTAGGACCAATTTCATTCAATGCCATTCTTGAGCCTCTTGATCACGCCAGCTTAACATGAAGTCTCGTCCACCCATTCCATCTCCACCCGCTTACCCATCCCTCACACAGTCCTGCTCTTCTTTGCTGGCCGATTTGCTGGTCGCCGTGCCGCTGCTGGACGCTTCATGACCACAACAACCCTTTCAATCCTAAACCTGAGCCTTGATAGCTCCACATTCCGTTGACAAGACCCCACATGATGTGCACACAACCATGTCCCAAATCCAAAGGACTGCCCCAGGTGAAAGGACTATCTTTCACGGAAGTCCCTTCTTTGTAGCAATTGTTCACATTTGCTTCCCAGTCTGGCCGTTGTGTGGCCGTTTCCTGGCAAGTGCTTAGGAGCAACAAACTTGACATGTTTCTCCCACTTTCCGCTTTCTGGCGAGTCCTTATTCTCTTTATTTGTCCCCCAGTCTTGGCTACTGCGTCCGCCTTCAGGCTAAAGCAGTGCCTTCCAATGGCCATGTTTCCCGAGATGCAGATTTACGGCGGCCAACTGTTTGGGGTCTACGGTGGTGTCATGAGGTTCTGAAGTTCGGCATCAAAGACGGGTACATTGACGTCAGTACCCATACTCTCCATGTATGCCATATATGCCTACATTGGGGTGGTTTCGGGGGTCAATGTAGGCATATATTCCATACATGGAGTGTATGGGGTATAGATCCAGGTCTATTTTCCCATCCTGCGGGTCTCTTTCTTTGGGATCCATCGTCCCATCGTCCTGCTTGAGGCCGGAGGTGGCCACTGCTGCGCTGGGCAAGGCGGTGATGGAGGCAGAGATGGCCGTGGCACAGGAGCGGCTCGTGGCGCGCTCGAAAAGGCACGTTTGTTCGCGGAATGAAAGCCAGAGTCACAATCTTAGTCTGCTGAGGTGGTTAGACGACCCCCAATCCCTCCCCAACCATCTCAGGTTCGGTGGGCCAGGAGCCCTTTTTGGGGTAAATGCTTTGAGTCAGCGGACTGGGTCAGTTGGGTCCACGGGGGTGCAGGTCGGTCTGTCGATACCTGGGGCTTGTGTTCGGGTCATGTCCCATTTTCTAGGGCACTTGAAGGTGGGTCTAGCTAGTCACTGGGATTCACGCTTTGGAGCTTGTCATCGTTCGTCCCAAACCCCCAAAAACAAACATACATTGGGACCGAACTAACATGTAGCACTGAACGTTCGGGTCCATGAGCTTCTGGGTGTTCTTGATTTTGTGAACGTGGATTGCTAGCAACACATCACAATGTGGCTCCTCACCAGCCCGGGCTGCAGGGCTCTCCAAAAACGAACATGGATGCCATATATGCCTACATTGACCCCCCCCAAACCACCCCTAATGTAGGCATATATGGCAGTCCCATTGGTCGTGTCTTGGATATATTGGGCCTTTATGTGTCTCGATGATCCACCCGTGTGTCGGACTCTCGTGTCTCTCGGGCGGCGAAATGGAGGAGCGAAACTTGTGGATCGAACAAGAGAAGGAACTCTTGAGACAGTTTCTTGGCGGCAAATGGTCCGTTCCCACTTGACTTGACATGGGAAGCATCTGGTTTTGGTCGTGTCAAATCGCTCAAGTAACTCTTGAGACCGTTGTGTGGGACTGTCGCAGTTCTGAGTTGGGTGCTATTGGAGTTGACCCTGATACCGGTGCCCCCTGATCACATCACATCCACATCACTGGGACTGATGTCCACCACCCCGCTGGAGGTGACTGGTGGGAGAAGAGTCTTATGGGATCGCTGGGTGTGAACACGCCGTGATTCGGCTCGCTGGCCCGGGGGTTAATAGGTATTGTAGGTACGAACTATCCAGGAAACATCCGTGCCTCTCCGCTGCAGGGGGTTCCGGTAACAAACCGTTGCTGCCTACCTCACTTCAAGTCCTTTTGAATATGGGAAATTACCCCATCAAAAAGAACAACAGGTATATGTTGAGTGAAACCGTCTGAGGATACCGGGTATACCATTAGTACTGCACATTCAGGGTCCAAGAACACAGGAAAACACAACCTCTGTCCCTGCTCCTCCTGTACCGGGTAGCTCCTGCCCGGAACCCCTACGTCGCAAGGCAAAAGGCCATCCGCAACCACGAGACCTTTGGTCAGGAGCGAAGCAACCGTCGGTAAAGGTCCTGGACCGGACCTGAACGCATATGGCTCCCAGTGCATCGTGGGTGCGTCCAGAGTCCGTGCGCCTATAGTCGAGTGCTTCGAATTCACATGGTTTTTCCCTGTTTTTTCCATTCAATTTGACCTAAACGCTCTGTGTTTTCACAGGCCATGACTTCGTCGCATGAAGGTCGATGAGACCACCGTCGACCCGGGTCAAAGGCGGACGACTCTCACTGACAGTCGAACTGCTGAGCAACACACCCATATAGATCCTAGACTTCCAAGACCATTAAGCAAATGGTTCGATGGTTGACGTGGTTCATGTAGTGCAAAAGCACGTATAAATTCCTTGTGTCTATTCAATTAATGGTGGGCCTGGAAGCCTATAGGCCTATAGGCTTAGGCTGTATTGTTTTGCACCGAGGTCATAAACCCGTCGGCCCCGGTGAGGTCGATCATTGGTTTTCGAACGAAAAAGCGACACGATGGTTTTGACCATTGGAGGAAAGGAGGTACCTTTCAAGGAAAGGAGCTACCTGGACACTATGGGAAATGAAGGGGAAATGAAGGGGGCAAGGGTGAACTTGTATTGGGTTGTCCTTGTTCGTTTTCTGATGTTCACTTAGGACATGTATATACAACACCAATCTACACACGGTCGCCCCACAACAAAAAGGACAGCACCGTTCGCATCTGATTTTCAGCACCGTTCAGTTGGTACACCTCCCTTGGCATCCCCAATCACCAGTTGTACATGTTTCACCTTCTGGGTCCCAGTCGTCTTCCGTTCGACCATTGAGTTCGGGATTGGCACAACAATTCCTTATTAACGATAAATAAATACATTGGGGTGCCCTTCAGGCAATTAACGATAAATAAATCATGGGGGGTGCCCTTCAGGCAATTCCTTATTAACGAAAGAACACTACATGGGGTGCCCTTCAGGCAATTCCTTATTAACGAAAGAACTACATGGGGTGCCCTTCAGGTTTTTAAACCTATGAAGCCAAGGGTGTTATTTTTGTTCAGTCTCGCCCATGCCGAGCACGGTGCTCACCCCGGACAGTCGGAGGCGTCCGCGATCCCGGCGCCACAGGAGTTTCGGAAGACGAAGGGTCGCAAGCTGCCGGCGTCCGGGGCTTGACGGGAGAGCCGGGATTTACTGGGAGGGAGGGAGGGAGGGATGGTAGAAGTGGTGACATCGAAAGGTCGAATGAAGAGGGGGGAGAAGAACGGCCTGGTGTAAAGTGCATGTAAAGTGCTACACTACCAAAAACACTGAATGTAGAGACTTGTTTGGATTGCGAGCTGTGCAATGGACTGGTTGCCTAAATCCGGATCGCTACAGACTCCAGACACAATTCTTGTCAAACTTGCAAGTAAAAGTACCGACATACTGTTTGGCTCAAGTGTTCAGCGTAAAACGAGCGCATGGTTTGAGCTGCAGTTGCGTTGCACTTTGCAATTGAACTTTGTGAGTGAAACCTTGTTACACTTTGACTGTGAGATCTTGACACCTTACTTCGATTGACGAATCGTAGAATTTGCCTGAAGTTGTGAACTGTAGTGGGACATATGGGATACGGTTTCCATTGCAATTCAGATGTTTTATGATGTTTTGAGTTCCTGCTGAATGGGAAGTGGAGGAGGAAGATGGTTGAAGATGGAGGAAGATGGAGGAAGTGGTGGTGTGGTGTTTGAAGCAAACATGATGGCAACAAAATCAAGTATACACTATAACAAGTCACCCAAGGGGTCTCGCGGGATTGTTTGGAAAGTACCTGTCCCCAGGAGAGACTCTCCAGCGCATCAGGAGAGACTCTCCAGCCCAGTTCAGAAGAACCCTTTGTGGAAGTGGAACACCAAACATCCTTCTCAAGCTGCCAGGAGTTCCAAA